GAAATGGAAATATCTACGACAAACACAGCCATTTGGAACAAAAATGAGATTTGTAAAGCAAGTTGGACAGCTTTTGAAGGGAAAAAGTCAATATTTAAAGTTTAGTTCATGAGTTCTTTTCCTTTGTTTTGTCTATAAGCTTTTGTGTTAAAGGTGAAGGATTTGGGTTGCTCAGACAATTAAGAGCCCATTTTACCAAGTGTAATTTCATATCTGTGCTCTATAAACTGGAGTGCCTTCAGCATTGTAAATAAAAAAAATTGCCCTCTATTAGCATGTTTGTGGGCAGATTAAAAACAGTCTTCATTAGCATAAGTAACACTTACAGATTCTTTTAAAAGTAGAAAATTATTTGCTGAATGATAAATTGCTAGCTTTATAGTTAGTTGCTGAAAATGTGCTCATTCAAAATGCCTACTTTAGTTTAGTCTACAATACTCAATTTTTTTAGTTCAAAGTACTGTTTAATGGATTATGTACTTAGTCTTTGTTCACAGTAGAAGCTGAAATGCAATTCACACTTTTTGCTAAAATGTTTGTATCAAATACCTCCCTATTTAGACTGATTTCTTCTAACACTATATATTTTTATTATGCTATATGCCCCAGAGACTGATACAAAATAATCTCCGATATGCTATACCAAAGAAAAGCTGTTCGCATCTTAGCACTGATACTGTAAAATGTTTTGCCTTCATGGATTCAAATTACAGCTCCTTTTAAAAATGTTTGATTCCTTGTTAGTTATTCTGGAAAAAAAAAAAATCATCATTTGGCAAATTATCATCACTATAGCAAATTCACCAAACAAAAGAATTCCGTTGCTCCACCTTGAAGCCCTTTCTTTCCGGACTTGTTTATTGCTGATTTGGAAGGAAGCTTTGCCCAGAGAGCATCTTTCATGCTGGTAATGCTACCCTCTTTGATCTAGTTAGAATTGGTATTTACACCATAAGTGTAGATTTCCTTTTTTTTTTTTTTTCATATAATAAGAAGGGTACTGGAATGCAAGAATAGTGTTTTTTTAGATGCTGTGTGTGACAGAGCAGGACTTTAAATACAGCTCAACTCAGTCTGAATAAAATAGCATTTGGATACGTAAATAAAATGCACGTATGCTTTCTTTAAAATAAGCGTGCTCATGGGTCTTGCAGACTCTAATGTTTGGCAGTTATCCTCTTTGCGCTTTTCTTGCAATAGTTTGGCAGTAGAGCTTTCACGGGTTTTTTTCCTTTAATATCTTATGTTTCTTTACTAAATCCCTACAAGAAAACCAGGCAGAAGACCCTTATTTATTTTAAATATCTTAGGTTTAGCATCTTTTTTTTTTTTTCACCATTTTCTTGCTTACTGTAGCAAGACCTTTGCAGATGGTACTTGGTTACTTGAAAGTGCATAACAGTATTTTCTTTGTAGCAGATGGATTTAAGACTTTTAGTTCCCAATAAATGTAGGTTTACAATACATAACTTTACAGGATTTGTGTTGTATATAACAGGTTTGAACATATTATCTCAGAATTCATCTGCATGGCATTTTCAGCTTATCCAGGGCCCATGCCAGTATTTTAAGTAATAGGGAGAGCATAGTGATTGATAGCAGCTAAAGGCGTGATTTTGAATAGAAACAAAGGTTTTAGAACAGAAGGTGTCAAATTAAACTTTGTCAGTTTGAAAAGTAGTAACATCCTGAAAGTTCTGCAAACATATTTACATGTGGCTAATGTTTATATTTTGCTTTGTACTCTCTTTATATTCAGTGTAATGTTGCCTGGCAAATTTACTGTTTTAAAATCAAGGTTTTTCCCAATGTCATTGCAGAGTTTTGGGGGGTTTGCCTTGCTGCATAGATATATCTGTCTAATTATTTTAAGGCTGTTTTTTAATGATGTGCTGTATGTGCTGTAGAAACTGGCTGACATCAAATTTGAGTTATAGATATTTCCTTATTATTTTAGGGTCCTGTTTTATAAGATTATAAAAGCATGAAAAAGCAGTGGTGTGAGCTTTCCTTCAGAATAAATTGTATGAACTATACAGAAATTACTCTAGATGTAGGTGCGTACAAGAGGAGAAAAATCAGCCTTGTTAAATTCACTAGTAAATTAAACTATGTTAACGATAGCACTTCATACTTCTTCAGATCAAATAGAAGCAAAACCTACAAATTTTGCATAACTTAAAATCCCCATTAGACGAGTCTATATTATTATTTTTTCTCAACGTAACAAAAACATTTCATACATTCTCATCTAGCTGACTTTCCTGAATAAGCTTTATGTTCAAACAGAAGTCTGCACTGAAATTAAATTAAATACTTACGGGTTTTGGTTGGTTGGTTGGTTTTCTGAACACGGTGGTATAAAGTCCTACTAACTAAATAAACCCCTACAGCCTCTGTTACTGCCCACTCACTGACTCTTCTGAGAATTTCTGTAAGGTCAACTTTTACAAATATTTTTGGAAATAAACAAAGACCCAAAATTGCTTCTGTCCTTGTAATTTTAGAAGATTTCAGCTGGTCATTTCCATGTTGCCTATTATATATTTTATCAGAATAACTGTTTACTTAAGAGCGTGAAGAACAGAGTGGAAAAGAGACATTTAATTAGAGTAGCAGTATACTCTATACACAGTGTCAGCAGCAACTGATTTCAGTATCTCAAAATCAGTGTTTCTCTGAAAGGCTAGCAGAGACGTGCTTCATCTTACAACTCATCAAATCATTTTTACATAAAAAATTAGAAGTGAGATTTCAGTGCAAATACTAATAGCATAGTACTGAAAGTGCAATGCTAGTTAACAGTAATTTGTAAGGCTAAAGACATCTATCAACTGTAGAAACACAGAAAAGGCAATATGGGGAGAAGGAATTCCTTAGTTAACAAAAGTGTTGTTGTGAAATATGTTTAATCAGCATAAACTTTGATTGCTTAGGAATTATTTTTACTATGGGGCATTTAATAAGAGTTACAACTGCCTTTCAAAAGAGCATCTGAAATTCCCATTGCCAGCAGACAAAATGTGCAGCTCCTAAGTGCGTGGTGCAATTTCTTGTTAGGTCTGTGAGTATACCTTAAAGAGCTGTCATGGAAGGGGAAATATTGTCTGTCTTGTATTTTTATATATATTTATTATATATATATATATATATATATATATATATATATATATATATAAACTTTCACCTAAATGCTTTTGAAGTTCACCTTTCTCTTTTACCACCACTAGAAACAGGACCAACAGTTTCAATATGAAGCAGTGCAGACTCCAGTTGTTCTTCAGTTAGGACATTTTTTTCAGCTTCAGGGTGGGCCTGTTTCTTTTTAATTAAATTTTCATTTCAATTAAAAGATCTCAATTTGGTTCTCTTCATCTTCTCCCCTCCATCCCAACACACCACCTATGCTTTCTGATTTCACATCTTAACTTGCTGCAGAAGGCTAGTACTGCTGGTGAGCACAGTCCTGCACTTGACCCCACAGAAGCAAGGCAGGCAGAGAACCACAAGCAGCATATGGATTTTGTTAGGGGCAGGGAGAGTTTGTGCATCGACCTGCTGACACATGCCAGGGCTCCTCATGATGGGGAGGGAGAACATACATACCCTTGCTACTGTTTTAGAAACATGCCATAGAGCTCGAACTGAGACAAGCTGTACATTATATGTACATCTGTAGGATGGCATTTGGCTACATTTCCCAATTCACTTTTTAAGCCCTGGGGCAACACCCAGCATCTGTGTGGCCAAAAAGTGGGGTGTGCCCCACCTCCAGGGTGCAGGGGGCCTCTCTGCTGCCGCTGCTCACCTACATCTCAGCACACTTAATGAGCATGCTGTGGGTCTGGGCCCTGCTTAAATTTTTGCCTTCTCAGCTCTGCTACCAGCATCTCACCAACATTTGTCAGTTGGGTTATTTCTGCTTTTTCTCTTGTGTCATTTGTTCAGTTTTCCTCCAAGAGCATACACTTGAAATCTTTATACACACCTCAACAAATATTTTCGTATACAATATGAATGCATTAAGATTATTTGTTTACTTTCACCTCTTCCTATCATGGCAATATTTTTACACTGCATTTATTAACTGCTAGCTAATGATATGAATGTCTTCAAAAAAATAATGTATCTATTCTGTATCTATGTATCTATTGTATCTAGTAGTAAACTGGTCTGGATAAACCATTTTTCAAATACCAGTACATATAAAAAGGATCTAAAAGCTTCTGTACATTTATATTATTTGTTGATTCAATAAAATGTCATATTATCTTTCCCACAGCATTAAGAAATAAAATTGCATGGACCTAGTTTGAAAACAGATCCTCGATGCTAAAAGGAAGAAATACACATGTTGCATGCGTGCAATATTTTGTTTCTAAATTTTAATATACCAAAAAAATTGTTGCCAATGCACACTGTGCTTCCCAGAGCATTTGCACGAATCTTACCTTCCTGCATCCCATAAAAGGATTCCTCTCTTTTAAAAAGACATTAGGGAGCTTTGCTATCATTCTGATTTCCATCAGGCAGCTCTGCAGTCAAAGCAGGTAACTGAAGTACTTTCCTGTTTGGAGGAGTAGTACCAGCATTTAGAAACTGCACAGCAGCTGATCTACCAGCTACTGAAATGTGGTGTTGATGCTCTCAGATGGGTGTAGGCTTGCATAAAATAAAACAGGCAGCAGAGAGAGTATCACGTACTGGTATCGGTGTGTAGGGGAGGATATAGGGGATTCTGCCTTGGTCAATGGGTTTGTTGAACAAAGAGCACTGGGTTACAGGACCAAGGAAAATGTGCTTGTGTCTTGCAAGGGTCTGAGCAATAAGGTGGTGGTCTCTTGGTGTGCTGACGTTTGGTTCACATCCAGCATTTACAGTGAAAGACGCGTATTGCCAAGGAGGTGAGAGAATGCAGTGCTGCTGAAGTCCACGTTTCACCCTCATTTGCTCCTCATGAGATGTGGAAATACTAACATTTTGCTGGTGTTATCTTCAAGGGGTGGCTCTGCGAGCTGTTACGTTGGAAAGAAGATCCCTCACCAGAGAACAGGACCCTCTGGGAGAATCTCTCCATGATCCGAAGGTTCCTCAGTCTTCCTCAGCCTGAACGCGATGCCATTTATGAACAAGAAAGCAATGCAGTTCATCACCATGGTGACAGGCCTTCCCACATTATCCATGTGCCAGCAGACCAGATTCAGGTTAGTTTACCTTGGCCAATCCAGCAGAGCACTAAGTAAATAAAGCTTTAAACATAGCAAAGGAAATTAGTGTTTCTTTCCTCCCCACCAGACTAACTACAGGTCTCCTGGTAAGAGATAACAGCACACTGCCCTCCGCCACCTGAATTAAAAGATGAGTGGGTGACCCCCTGTGTTTTTCTTCTGGTTTGGGTTTTTTCAAGTTTGCATGGAGAGGGCAGCTCAGGCGCATGTGCGTGGGGCAGTACAAGCCATCCGCATGAGCTGCCTGTAGCTAGACAGGCATCAGGACCAAAAGACAGATGTGTTGGGCACTAGCTGTGCATTGCCAGCAGAGTGGGAGGAGGTGATAACACGCTGCTGTTGGAAAGCTAAGCTCAACCCCTCAGCAGTGGTGGCCCACCCCAGGTAGGAGTGAGGGAAGGGGACATGATTCCTCGTCCCATTTGATCCCCAGCCGAGACCGGGATGAGTCAATGTTTGTTTGTTTTTCCTTTAGAGCCCCTCTCCCACCACCCTTGGGAAAGGAGAGCATAGAGGCGCTTTCTTACCAGGCCTGCTGACCGCTGGACCTTGGCTGGGTGCTGCTCCGCAGGTGAGCTGGCACAAGGGCAAATGTGCCAGGGAGAGAACGGAGGGCTTGCAGGACCCACGCCACCTGGCTTGGAGGTGCTGGTCCCTTGGCTCTCCCAGGCATCATGCACGCGAGCCTGGTGGCCCCTCAGCCAGGGAGCACGGCTGGCCAGTTTGCTAAATATCACAGGCCAGATCTGCAGCTCTCTGAGCTAGAGACTCTTTAATCCCTTCTCACTGAAGACCTGAGGTCAGCCTTTAAGTGCTCCCTCTTACAGGGCAGATATTACCCCTGCTTTTCAGTTCCCAACCTCAGCTGAGACATGGTGCACGATTTGTATTACCTATACAGGAAAATATTTACAGAGCTAGGGAGGATAGAGTTATCTCACAGCCAGAAACAACACAAGTGTATATTAAAGATAAAGCAAACTGAATAAGTCAATCCCTTAGGATATCAACTACAAAAATAATTGTGAAAGCCTGGAAAGTTGCTGTTTGATTTAGCAAAAAGAGAGAGAAAGATCTATATTAAGTAAGAAAACAGCACTTGTTTGAAAACCTACATTGTTTTTAATAAAATCACTTCTTAAGGGGATAAAAGGAAAAGCTTATGCACGGTATAAACATTTTGCCACTATGCCATTTACTTAGATTTTCTTGCCTTGTTGATAAAAGTTTTGTGTTTGATCTCACAAATATTATTCACCTAAGCAGTTGCACTGTAATCTCTTAATATGACTTGTAAGAGTGGATTGGGAGACTGGGCCTGAGTTTTGTCTGTGCTCTTCTACCCTGTAATTGTTGGAGATGCAAAATTGTGTAGTTAAGACACGAGTTTTCAAACTGTATATACAAAGCCTCCAGTCTTGTAAGATTTTAATGTGCTGGGAGTAGTCTTGAATCTCTGTGGGTTTGAAACCTTCAATGGGACTGCTCACAGAGCGTAAAACATGAAAGGATGTGAATAGGGATGAGGCAAGAGCCCTAATTCCATGGGCATTTGCATCAGATTTTACAATAACAGGATCGCTTCAAGCAGGGGCTGCTGAAGTGGATGTTGAGACCTACATGAAGTCTTCACAACCACAAGTGGCACTGCGAAATGGCCAGAAATTAAATTCATCCAATCCCTACAATATTTTGTGCTTCTTAAGGTCTGCAAGTAAATTGCACCCAAAAGCTTGGGAACCACTTCTGACACACAAAAAACTGTCGAGGAGAGACTCGCAAAGGGAAATGAAATGTAGTGATAGCAGCTGCTTGTTTTGCTGCTGTTGTTTTTTAATAATAACTGGTGGTTTGTACCATATGACAAGAAATTTGCTGATCCAAAATATCTTACTAACCAGTGCTTCCTGTGCTGTGAAGCAAGAGAATTGTCAACAAAAACAGTAGCTGATAAATTTACTTTTGATTTTAAACATGATCTTACAATGTGCTGTACTCTAGCAGTGGAGGAGAAAAACATCTCTGTCCCTAGGGCTCAGTGCCTCACCTTTTAAGAATGTTTCTGAATCCATGCTTGCAAAACTTCATTTTAAGCTCTTGTTAATTATTTACATCATGATTTGCTTTATCTTATTCTTCTGATGTGCATACTGGCTCATTTTTATTGCTTGAGTTTTTGGAATGCAGCATGTTCCCTTCTAATAATAATAGTGCAACTTATTTAGAGCTTTGCATCTTAGTGCTTTATAAATATTAACTAAATAATCCCCAGCACAAACACTGCAGTAGGTAAATATGTTTGTTCCCCGTTTATACGCTGGGATCCTTGAACACAGACAAGACACCCTCTCCGTGGCCACAGGCAAGATGGGTCAGAGCCAGACCGGGAAACAAGGAGTTGCTACCTCCTGATCTCTTTGTCCTTGTGGAGGCAGGGTTTGGCAGCATGATGTTAGACCCTTCCAGCTAACGCAGTCTGCAGTAACGTTTGCAAGTTTGGGGAGGCTTCAGTGGCTGCTCAGCACAGATCGGTAGTGGGATATTCCACACTTAGCTAAAATGCTTTCCCTCTCCCCGATCCCCCCGGTCCGTTCTGTCTAGCCATTGCTAGAGATTTTCAGTCCTTGCTTTTGGGCAGCAGCTGCTGCTGCTGGCAGAGCTCCTGTGTGTTTGCCCTCATCTGGCACTTTTCTCACTTTGCCCTTGCTACAGTTCTGGCTAAGCTGGTCAAGTTAATCCTACGCTATGTCACCTACTTAGCATTTTGTCTTGTCTGCACTTGACTCATGGAGCACGTTCATTAAACTGTCGGCTGAACTGCACTGATGTCACGTCATCGGTGTTTCAGCCGGACCAACTCAGAGTGCTCCACCACTCTGCCCGCATCTTGCCAGCCCTTTATCCCCAGTCCCTGCTCACACATGTGCAGATGTGTGGAAGGTATGCAGAGGCTTACTAATTATTTTAATTCAGGTTCGCCTTACTACCATTGATAATGAGCCTTTTTTTTGTTCTTGTTTCGCTTAAAGTTACTGAGTAATTACTTATAGCTCTGCAATTTTTTTCCCATGGATTTTCTTCGTAACACAAAATACGGGCAGGAATGCATGTACAAAAAATGCTGTGCTTTGTCTTGCAGCAGCAGCAGCAGCAACAGCAACAACAGCAGCAGCAGCAGCAGCAGCAACAGCAACCAGGTCCCAGACTACCCCCAAGGCAACCGACAGTAGCATCACCAGCTGAATCTGAGGATGAAAATCGTCAGAAACCCCGGCCGCGAACAAAGATTTCTGTTGAAGCCCTAGGGATCCTACAGAGTTTCATTCAAGATGTGGGCCTGTATCCAGATGAAGAAGCAATCCAGACTCTCTCCGCTCAGCTTGACCTGCCCAAGCACACCATCATCAAGTTCTTTCAGAACCAGCGATATTATCTCAAGCACCACGGGAAGCTGAAGGACAATTCTGGGTTAGAGGTGGATGTTGCAGAATACAAGGAGGAAGAGTTGCTCAAGGATTTAGAAGACAGCATCCAAGATAAAAATGCAAACACGCTTTTTCCGGTTAAACTAGAAGAAGAGTTATCGGTAGAAGGGAACACAGAAATTAATGCTGAATTGAAAGACTGATCTAAAAGTATTATTTTCTTTCAACAGTGCCACTGGTATTTACTAATGAAATGAAAGTTCCATCTTGCGTTCTGTCAAAAACCTTTATTATACATTGTTTGGCCAATGAATCTTCCAAAACTTGCACAAAAGTTGAAAAAAGGATAATGCAGACTGCACTAGATGTTTTACTCTGTTTTACAAACTGCTTCGCAGCAACAGATGAAGCGTTGAGGATTGTTTGATATTAATTTGTGTTCACTGGATACACTGTGAGTGTACCCAATAAGCATGATACCAGTGATTTTGATTCTGGAGCCTTCAGACAAGCATTACAACTTTTGTGATTTACTGTTTTTTTTTGTTGTTGTTGTTGTTTTGTTCTTTTTTTTTTTTTTTAATTATTACTGTAGCACTCCACACTTGATCTTTGGAAACTCACATTTATTTAAAAAAAAATAAAATAAAAAGAGTTTGTTACTCTTGTTCTATTGTATGTTACAAAAGAACTATAGACTGTGGAATGCAGTTTAAAGATAACATATGCCAACAAATGCCTTGTATTATATGGCACTGCCGTAATTCAGATTTGTTTTCTTTTGGAAATAAAGGTCACTGTTTTTTTTTTCCATTCTCATTGTTACATGGTTTTAAAGAAAATGAAAAAGAAAATGTGAAACACAATTTAGTCCTCATTATTTATTTGTAGATCCTGCAGCCTCATGTTGTAATTAATTTTTTTGGAAGTTTCCGTTAAATGTAATATTGCTTCTCTTGTTATCATACTGATTTTTTTTTCTATTTATAAATGTATTTTGATGGGCAGTAAAACAAAGTGTCTTAAAAGTTTTAAATAGAGAAAATGTGCTTTACACAGTTGCCTATAAAAAGTGCTCTATGTTATCCAAGCAATTCATACTATAAGCTTCACTCTTATTGTTGTATGCAATTTTTACTATCATGCAAATAAGCTTAGGTAAATAAAACTAATAGATCACCTTAGAAACTTATGCAATTAATGTGAAAATAATTGATGTTTGCAATGTGTCTTCCTTTGGTTTACAATCAATTTTAAAGCTACAGCTGTATAAATTTTCTGTATAAAGGTGTATTTCTTTTTTATGAGTTTATTGCTATGAAAACACCAGTTATTTTGTTACAGCTGGCTGTTTTTATAAGTGTATCACAATTTTCTTTATGCAGAAATGTTCTGACTAGGAGTGGTTATTGACTGTAACTACACAATTAAAATTGTTTGTATGGTATGATATGGCAGGGTTTGTCTGCGTATGTGTGTATCTGGGAGGAATAACTTGTTCTTAGTGCACATTGTACCTTCTTGCCACCACTTTGAAGATGACATTTCAATTGTTCTCCTTTAAAATCACAAGCAGATTTTTTTTAATGACCTTCTTAATATTTGAATATAGATAACATACTTCAAAAAGAAACACAGTTTGGTTATGAAAATCATAACCTGTCTTTTCTTGGTTTAAAAACTTGCCTGCCCAACAGAGATAGCAGGATATTATTGAGTCAAAAGGCTATCAGGCATAAACATATTTACAGTTCCTGGCAGTAATGCACTTATAATGGATACAGCTGGTTTTCTTTTACACTAGAATTATGCTAACACTATTCCTTGCACTAATGTAGAAACATTAAAAAAAATAATAAATAAACCATTATTAGTCACATACTACATAGGAAAGATAGGCTTTGCACATAGCAGTCCCCTTCTAAGCAAGATAATTTTAAATGATCACTAATAAGTCTCTTGATAAAGCCATCATAACTGGGGAGCTCTGAATTTATGCAAAGCTCTTGTCTAGGCTACAGAGGAGTCTACAGCTGAACCTTGTACATGACATGTATGCAGTTGTTCTCCATTCCTAGAGGAGGGACAGCTTCCACCTGGTGTAATTTAGCTTTTAACATGAGATTCAATTTCGGCACAGCGATTCTAAAACGACTAAAAGTTTGCAAACCTCAGTTTTGTTTCAAAAGCACAAGTGGCTCTTAGGTGGCTGAAAAATTCTCCTTTTAGCCCCATTCAGTTCTTTAAGAAGATAATCCTTAGGTAGCAAGGCAGTCTTTCATACCACATTTAAAATCACCGTTGTCCATGGCCTTTGTCTCAGCACCCACGGGTTTACTGAGCAGGTCCCAGCCATGGCACCTCTGGGCTGCTCCCAGGGCTGCACCAGGCTGCACCAGGCTTTGGGCTTGATTTAAAAGAATGGAGCTTTCATGCCATGCTGGGAGGGCAACAAGTCTTAGAAGGGGCACAGATGTGTAATTTGACATCACAATTTAAGGAAAAGACAGCAAGACTATACTATCACTTAAGAAACTTGTATTAGGTATAAAGCTATTGATAGCCAACAGCTGTGCTGGTTGCAAAAGGGCATAACCTAAGCTCAGTCCAGGGAAGCCTCTGTGGACACCATTGACTTTCTTCTCATACTGTAAATGGGATCATTTGTTTTGGTCATTTGTTCTGGGATCCAGACTTGCTGTGCAGTGCAAGCTGAGCTGACGTGCAGGATGGTGCCACTGGCACCCTGGGGACAGCTGAAGAGCCAAGAGCCCATTGCAGTAAGATTAAGCTTAAGATTAAAAATAAAAATAAAACTCACTTTTAAACTAATGTGTGCATATGCAGGGTAGAAGGAAAATGCCACTTTCCCGGAATTTATTCCCCTTCGTGCTAAAAGCTAATATATGCAGCACTCCTAATATCAGAAATAGGGCAACAAGTCCAACACCCTATAAAAGCATAAGAAGAAATATTTATAAAATTGTCTTCTCAATTTCGAAAGCAATTTCCTTTTCTTTTATCCTTTTAAGTTTTATGGGTGCTGAAGTGGAGGCCATGTGGGCTTGCAGATGGTTATTATAGCTGTTTCTTTTCCATTACCTTTGTTTTTCCTTCTCCTGGCCTAGATGAGGTTATCTTCCAAGTGGTCCAGCCTGTGCAGTCACACATTACCTGCTCAGAGGTTTGAGTCAGTGCATTTTGTGTCCCCGTGGGTGGGCTGAAAGAAGTCTTTTACCATGGCCTGAGTGATCAAAGTATTTCTGTTAAATCCTTAGCAGCATCCTCAAAGGTGATACAGATATTAAGGATCTCAATGTTATGTGAGTTCAAGAGGTTTATACTGTTAGAAGTTAAGCCACTACCAGTATATGTCACCTTGACTTTAGGACCAGTTAGACTACCTAGGAAATACCTTATGCCCTTTTCTGTTCCTTTTTCTCATCATCTGTCATAATCCTATCAACAAACTTTCCATTTCTTTGGAGATCAAGAAATTGGGCTTGGTTTCAGTAATGAAGTCTCTTTCTAAATGCAGCCCAGACAAAAAGACAATTAGTTGGGAAGTTGTCAGTAGAACTCACTGCTGAGTAGGACTTTGCTGGCAGTGTATGAAAATAGAGTATTTTGTATGTGCTTAGGGAAGTATGGGGAAATAATAGTGCTTACTAGGAATAAAATTTGAGCTGTGAATAAAGCCAAATGCCTAAAAAAGAGAGAACTGAGTGCTGGGTGGGGATGGCAGGACAGCTTTTGCTATAAAACTGAAGTTAAGCATTTACCATTCTTTATGGTTTTTACCATAAAAAGTAGAGTATTTTTACTCCCTGCTGGTTCCCATTAATCTATATTTAAGTGACAAGATTTATGCAGATATACTGGAGTCTCCAGTGAGCGTTTTTGAAGCCTGAAATGAAACCAAAGAGGCCCCCTATTCCAGGAGGGCCATGGCTTGGGGGCAGTCAGATGCCCCAAGCACACATACAAAGATTGAGTGCTATTGCAAAGTCTCCCTGCCCTACAGTAGAGGATTTCTGGAGCTGCACTTTGCATTGCTACTTTGAACTGGGCAGATGATGCAGAAAGAAATGTCTAGGTTTGAAAGTAAATTATCATGCTTATTTATTTATTTAAGATAAAACAGTGAAGCAAGTGGAGGAGGAAGAGAAGGTTTCCCTGAACCAGTGATATGGTTTCAGTGATTTTCTGACTCAGTACTCTGGTTGCGTGCTGGGAAAACACCAAACACTGCTGCTGAGTCCAGTTGCCAAAGCGAATGCCCCATACATTAACAGTAAATAACATACTGCTGAAGATCTACTTGAGCATCAAGTATTAGCAATTCTGCTTAACATCGACTGTGTGTTTTTATGTCAGGTACATTGCAGAGACCAAAGGTTTTTTTTGATTTTTACATAATGATTTATATTGTGCTTTGAATAAGAGTCCCATGGCAAAGCAGGGATATAAATACACTCCCAGGCCTTTTTTGCACACAGATGTAATTTTAGTTTGGTCTCCTCACAGTGCCTTGCGTCCACACAGTCTTTTACTACAACAAATGAGCTAATAATTCAAACTGCAATAAGTGATCCTCCTTGGAGCAGGAGCAGCACTACTTGGCAGTGCGTTTGTTTGCTTTTAGGTTCATACGGGAGCCTTCCCAACCGCTCAGCTACTGGCAGCCCCCCCGCCACCCCCCGCCGCATTGTTTTGCACTGGACTGGCCCAGGCGCCCTTCCTGCTCTGGGTCAGCCTGCCCAAATGACATCTCTCCTCTTACATGCAAGCACTTGGATATGTGCACCACGGTTTACTATTAGGCAGTAAATACAGTACATATCTGTCGTCACCTACCTCTTATCATCACTGTTCGTGCTGTGAGCCTTATAGGTTTTCTGGAACAGCTCACTTTCATCAGAGAGATTGTGCTGTCTGGAGCAAAGCCACCAGCAGGCAAGTAGTCCCTGGGGTGATGGGGTAGAGGGGGCAGAGAGGATATGTGTCCCAGAGGGAAGCAGGAAGAGAAAAAGTGGATGACGACAGAGAAGAATGGGAGCATCAGGAAAGTCACAGTAGCTATCCTGGAGGAGTGGGCTCTGTTACAGGGTGTGCTAGAGGGACACCCCAGAAGGCTACACGGTACCAGCAGGATGCTGTAGAAGATGTTCTTGACCAGAAATGTACCATGATCTCCAACAGAGATACAGCATAATATAAGATACAGCATAACACAAAAGCCTCCTTGCCTGTCCACAGCAAAAGAGGTTCCATAACAGTGTGTGTTCTGGTGCCACCCCACCATGTAGTGCATGCAGGTTTTTTCCTTAGTTTCAGACTGGCAGCTGCCATGGCAGATGAAGGTAGGGCTCTCTTTCCATGTCCCTTGCTTACCCACACAATATGCTAAAGCAATATACAGTCTGTGGAACAAAAAAAAACCAACCTCCTTTTCCGACAGGATTCCATGCAACCACAAACAGCATGTTTACAGCCTTAACTCCTCCTCGAACCAGATGTGCCATAGGAGCTGAAACAAATCACATGTGTTGTATGGCCTGCATGTTTATCACAGGGCAATAGAACAGAAGAAAAAAAGAAAAAAAAAATTGCTTCTGAGGGTATGCAGAACTATGTAAGCATGCACAGTTCTGGGGTAAAAATCTGGGGCAAATAATTTTCCCCAAGAAGCTTCAGATTGCTACTGACATTTTAAACCAGTTGCAATGATTTGTTATTATTGGGGCCAGAAAAAAATTGTGTAGAATGTTGCTGACTTTGCCACAGACTTTCTCCCAAAACATAATTCAAGGCAAAGAGCACTCTTGTGTTATTCGCATTACAAAATAAACAGCCTTGCAAGACCAGCTGTTGGATGTTGCTGCTCTTCTACATCTGCATTAAAGAAGGACACCATCCTGGAACTGGCAGCACTGCCCACAGCTGTGCATCACTTCTTACCCCATCTCAAGGGGGCTTCCCGGCTCAAAGCATGCCCCTATACTCCTTCTTTCTCTTTATTCTCTTATAATCAACTTTAAAAAGGCCCTTATTCCTCAGGCTACATTTTTACATGGGGAAAGCAGAAGATTTTTTTTTAGAAAACATCTTACCTTAGAGCAAACAATGGCAGGGAAAGCTAGGCGAGGATGTCCTTTCAAAAGTGTAGGGAAAGTGATTCTTTATCATTATCAGCATGACAGCTTGGATTGGGAAATAAGTACAGGTGTTGTTGTTGGCTTGCCTAAGTGGAAAAAATGCTATACCCCCAGCCTAATAGGAATTTAATAACAGCTGAGAGACTGAAGGAGACAGAAAAGGAAGACAGAGGAGAAGTATCTGGATACAAACTTCTTAGGGCCAGTCATGCCTCACAATGAGTGGAGAATTGTAAGACTAGTTTAAACTAAAGGAGATCTGAGTTAAGAAATAAAAAACTAAGTGAGAAGCACTCATG